TAATTTCTCTAAGAGGGCCATCCGCCCAGGCGTGTCCCCGAATCCCCAAAGTGACGCAAGAGCTTTCACGCTCCAGTCGTAAATATCTCTCTCACTGTCGACCCCCTATCCGCTAGCACGATGGCCCACGCGTGCGTCGCGTGCCGGACCTCTGTGGTTGTTCGAGAGAGGTTTTCCGCCTCCTCGTACAGAGCGAAACCAGGATCCCCGACATCACCTTATAAAGGAGTATTTGAAACATAACCGGCTTCCTGAAGACCCTATTAAGCATAACAAGATCTGAAGGTCAGCCACACGATATGTATGTCGTGACGGTATCTTGTTTCAAATTTCTTACAATGATATGCTGCTTAGGTGCATTGACCAGCAAGATACAAATTTGTACTCAAGGAAGTTCATCTAGCCCTACGCTTTATGACACGAACATCAGGATAGGCTATTAATAAAGATAAAGCAGAATTAGTTGTAAAAGGGTTTAAACAAAAGAGGACATTGATTGACTAATATGTACTTGTGGCAAGAATTGCTACTATTAGATTATGCTTAGCAATAACCTCTATCAACCATCTTGTCATACATCAAATGGATGTAAAAACTAATTTCTTAAATGGTGACTTAGATGAAGAAATATATATGAAACAACTCGAAGGGTTTGTGATACCAGGATATGAGAACAAAATCTATAAATTAGTTAAATCTCTTTATAGACTTAAACAAACACCTAAACAATGGCATAAGAAATTTGAAAACATGTTGATGTCAAATAGTTTTAAAAGAAATGTGGCTAATAAGTATGTTTATAATATGCAATTAAAGTCTTTATGTGTCATTATTTGTCTATATGTAGATGATATGCTTATCTTTGGCACTAATCAAGAAATTGTGGAGGAAAGTAAAAGATTCTTCACATCTAGCATTGATATGAAGGACTTAAGAGAGGCTGATGTGATACTTAGTATCAAAATAGTGAGAAAAGAAAATAAATTAATTTTGACTCAATCTCATTACATTGAGAAAATACTCAAAAAGTCTGAGCATACTGATAGTAAGTAAGTTTCTACCCTTATAGATTATCATGTTAAATTAAAGAAAATGATGGAAGATGTATATCTCAACTTGAATATGCTAGAGTGATTGGTAGTTTAATGTATGCAATGACTAGCACGAGGCCTAACACAACATATACAGTGGGCAAACTTAATACATATACAAGTTGCCCAAGTAATGAGCATTGGGATGCTATATCTCGAGTTTTAAAATACTTGAAAGGAACTTTCCCGGAGAGTTTGAAGGGTATAGTGATGCTAAATGGAACAAAGAAATCCAAGTTTCACTATCAACATCCAGATGGATATTTACATTAGCGGATGGTGCGATATCACGCGGGCCACATAAACAAAAGTGTATTTCGCACTCTACTATAGAGTTTGGAATAATTTCTTTTGACTCTATTGGCAAAGAGACCGAATAGCTAAACAATTTATTACATGACATTCCTATTGGCTAAAACCAATACTTGCAAAAACAATATATTGTGATAATCAAGCTACTATAGTGAGAGTTTGTAATGATGTATATAATGGGAAATCTATACGTATTGTGAGAAGGCATAACTCCATCAAAATGTTAATCGGAGATGGAGTGATTGGTGTATAATATGTATGATAATAATTGATCATTTGACAAAAGGCCTTATAAGGGATGACATTAGTAAGACGTCAAAACAAATGGGGCTAGAGTCCATTGACTAATCATCTATAGTGGAAACCCAATTTAGTCTTTTGTAACCTCAAAATTCTAGGTTCAATATAGTAAAACAAATTTTATGTATGATTAGTTTGGTTAGTAGATGACAAAAATATTATAAGTACCTATTCTTAGAAAATCCATACAGTGGATAAGTCTCGTGATATCCATTATGCTAGTAGGTTGAGTTATACTTTTAATATGGTCTATGGACGATATATAAGTCACAGTGTTTTAGATACGAGTACGATTTGTATACAGCTGAGGCTCTAAACAATCAAAGTAAAGCACACCTTCAAATAGTGTCGAGAAATGTGGTTTCAATACTGAAAATCTTTGTGATAGCCTTAAAATATATTTTCATCTTTTGTTATAAAATTTAAAGCTTCGAAAATAGTGTAGGTCGAGCAGATCTAAGAAAAATAAAAAATGTTCAAAATTGACGGTTCAAAAATGCGCTATAAGATGTACTATTTTTAAAACTTGAAATTCATTTTTTTTCTCATGTCCATGCATCTTGATGTTGTGATAATCAATTTGAGGATTTGGGCATCAAAACAACCTATTCTAGGGAAATTTTTGAGATGGGCTCTATTTGATTGTTTAGAGCTTCGACTCTATATAATTTTTTTCTTTTATATATGGGGGTACTCTTGATAGACACACCTATATAAGTATGGAAATGAGATCGCTTCCTATGAGATAGGACGTGTATCTAGACCACTTATGAAATACGAATATATGCACAAGGCCCAAACATTATAGCAGCTAAAAAGACACCAGACTTGAATATTATTTGTGAGTTATACTGCCGGTCAGTTACATAAGCAACACGGTTCAAAACTATATGCTATTACGGTACTTGATGAAGTTTGCAGTGCACACACACACTCTAAGTGAAAGTTCAAATTGAAAGGTACTTCCATGGTATGCAAATAATATGTTTCCTATGCTTTTTCTTGTTATTTTAAAATTCTGAAGGAAAATATTAGTATTTTAGTTTGAAAAATACTTGTGTGTATTTCAAAACAACAATATGGTTATGTGGTATTTCTTAAGCTACATTTTGCAGAGATTTTTTTATAACCATTTGCATATCTCTAAAAACACCATTCTCTACAATTTCCAGGGAGCAAAACCAATGGACTCCTCTTTCTCTACTCGTTTTTCCTTCTTTCTCTCTCTAAACAAACCCAAGACTCTGGTGCTAATGTGTGGATTCCAAGCTTGCGTGCATAAAGTTTAGGAATTGTCCTTTTTATACACATCAAAATAGTATCGAAAGGGGCCAAATATCGTTTTGAGATAACATTCATATGTGCCCCAAAATAAGATGTGCTCGAACCTTTGATTTTTTGAAATAGTAGTACCTTTTACCCCTATTTCGCCCACGAATTTTTCAACACTAGAAGCACTTCACACCCGCGTGGAGACCTCACAGACTGTTGAAAAGCGTAGCAGGCACTACAACATGCTAGATCCTTGACGGGGTAGAAAAAGTAATATATAAAAGAAAAAGATCCTAGAAGATGGTAGAAAAGGAATATATAAAGAAAAGGATGGGAAAACGGGTACCCGGTGGGCACGTCAAGGAAAGGACGTTAGGGATTGGTCTTTACCCTCTTGGCAGCCGGTGGGCACGTGAAGGAACGGACGTTAGGGATTGTTTCCTTACGTAGATTTGAATACGATTACATGAAGAGTGCATATATTGTCCTTGAGAGCGCATTGTGTATCTACTCCCTTACTCAGAAAACCTATTTAAGATGGGTTTTTTGGCTTGACATTTTGGAAAAAAAAACGACTAGATCATATTTTTAAAAAAAAATTTTTGAATTTTAAATTGAGTTTTTTAGCAGTCTCTATTCAATCTTGATATATTATTTTTTTTAGTGTTTAAAGATTTTATTTCATAATTTTTTATTATAGTGATAGCAGTCTTTGGTAAGTTGAAAAGTCCATGTTCGGAGTCTTTTTTGTCTAGTGGGATGAACTTACCATAACCTTTAAAAAATTGAAAAGTCTTTATTCAATCTTGACATATTTAATCTTTTATTTTTATTTTTGAACATATCACTAAAGGACGTGGTCGGCATGAGGCAAAGGCCGCACATGTACAAATACGGGCTTGACAATAAATATATTTTTTAAATATAATTTGATCTTAAAAAAATATATAATTTTTAACATGAACATCATAAATATGAAAATTAAATAAATTTTAAAAATTAAAAATAATAATTATATTAAAATTTTTTTTGAATTGTTAGCTATAAATGTCTATAAATGAACCACTTATTTGTATCCATATTTAAGATAAATGATTTATACATCGACCGTATATTGTACAAATCCAGTTCAGCCCAGATGGAACAATTGTTCATCACTAAAATGGTACTTATTTTAAAGCATCCATGACGTGATCAAGTTAAGCAATTTAGTATTTACTTTATGAAAATGATTGATTTATCCACTAGAGTAATAGCACGTCAACTATTACAGTGTAAGTACCCAAAATGTTCATGTCTTGTCTTACACTTAGAATTGACAAATTTTTTGCTTTAATAAGGTGGCTCAAGGAAAATGATTTAAATACTCATGTTAGTTCTAAGCTCATGGGATTTATTTATTTTTAACTAATACCTTGGTTATATTTAAAATTAAAAAAAAAAATAGTATTTGCATCACTTGGTTGGGATTCAAATGATGAAGCCTTGCACGACTTTTTTCATTACACCGTTTCAAAATGGGTGTGGTTTGTATTGAGTGGAGGCTCTAAACAATCAAAATAAAAGATGTAGCAGAGAAATATAGTTTCAACATTAAAAATATTTATAATAATTTTATAAAATATATTTTTATTTTTAATCATAAAATTTAAAACTTTAAAAATAATATTTATCCCACGTCAAAAACGGCCACTTCTAATAAATTTTTTGAACTGCGCCTTGATTGTTCAAAACTTGACCTTTATATAATATTTTTTCCAAATATTAAGTGACATAACCTAGTGACGGCACTTTGGTAAGTTCATCCCACTAGCGCTCTATGTCATATTACTAAAATACCCCTAACAATAATTAAATATATTCCCTCACTCTCTCCCAAAATATCTGCCCTAAAGAACACGCGTACCATTTCACCTGACCCGCATAGGAGTCGCGCTGAAAAAAAAATTAGAAAAAGGCGGAGATCAGAGAAACAGACAAAGCGCTTTAATGACAGCGCTGTATATAAACAAACAACCGCTCCATTAATGCCACAAACCCCACTCTCCCGTCCTGATCTATCCATCCCCCTTCGACCTTAGGACTCAACCCACTTGGTTTCCTAGTGAGAGAAAGAAAAATAGAGAGAGAAGCTAGAAGATGGGGAGCGTCGCTCATGTTTGTGCCAAGGCGGTGAACGGGAACGAGACGGGAGGCAAAGTCATTAGTTGCAGAGGTAGATAGAGGACATTTCTCTTCTTTTTGTGTTATTCAGTTTCTCCTTAGGGCCATGTTTCTCTTCTTCTTCTTCTTCTTCTCATCTGATTTCTCTCTCTACGAAGCTGCTGTTTTATGGGGTCCAAAACAGCCACTCTATATAGAAGAAGTGCAGGTCGACCCGCCTCAGAAGATGGAGGTTCGGTTAAGGATCCTTTACTCCTCTGTTTGCCACACTGATCTTGGCTTCTGGTTGGGAGAGGTCAGTTCGCCCGTCGTCTGCAACCCTAGATAGAGAGAGAGTGATTTCTGTGGTTTTATTTCATTTGTAAAAGCTGAAAACTTTTATTGTACAGAACGAAAGCCAGCAGGCATTCCCTCGAATATTGGGTCACGAAGCAGCAGGGTAAGTACACTGTGTTATTTCATTGTCTCCATTTTTTGCATGAATCAGTCTCTCTTTCTTGGGTGATTTGTTTTTTTTGTAAATCAAAGCAAAGGCCTATATCTCTCTATAAAAGTTTTGATCCATTTGAATCTTTCGCTCTCTAAAAACGCAATGGAGTTTTATTGGTTGGTTGACAGGGTGGTGGAGAGCGTGGGAGAGGGGGTGACGGGCTTGAGTGAGGGGGACCACGTTGTGCCCATTTTTAACGGAGAATGCGGAGCATGCTCATACTGTGAGTCTCGAAAGACGAACCAGTGCGAGAGGCTGAGGTGCAAACCTCTGAAGACCGTCATGGATAGTGATGGCAAAACCAGGTTTTCTTTAAATGGAAAACCCATTTACCACTTTCTGAATACCTCCACATTCAGTGAATACACGGTTTTGGACGCTGGTTGTGTAGTTAAGATCGACCCCACTGCCCCACTTGACAAAATGTGCTTGCTCAGCTGCGGCGTCTCCACCGGTTCTCTCTTTCTCTCTCTCTCTCTGTCTCCCTCTTTTCCCTGTTTATTGGCTAATGCGTTTGGAATATAGGGGTTGGAGCTGTGTGGAACACAGCAAACGTCGAGACCGGAGCAACTGTTGCTGTGTTCGGATTGGGTGCCGTCGGCATAGCTGTAAGTTTGCATTTATTTTATTCAATTGCTATTTTGATTATTGTTTATTGTTTATCCATGCATCATCTCGGTCACTATCAGCATGACCTCCAATTTTGGGAAGTAATTAATTAAGGACGACGTTTTCTATAAGGCCTAGGCTTTATGAATACAAAATAAAGCCTCACTTAAATTCCGCGTCTTGAAACCACTTTCAGCATCGGAAATCTTGCTGCGAAACTAATTTCTTATATCGTCTATAAAGTTTGAAACTTAGAAAATGATATAGATCTTAAATACCTATTTTTAGGATGAAATGGATGGTCTAGATGATTTGTTGCAATATACACTCTTTTCAGATTTTGAAATCTAAAGTTTTTTATACGACCATATTGTTCAAGCTGAGATGATCAATTTTAGTAATTTTCAACACTTGGATTGTAATTTTTGATGAGTTATAAGATGAGGCTTTTTTATTTTGATAGAGCTACAACCCTATCAAACTGTTTTCCATTAATGAATAAAAATATATCAAGCGAAAACTCAACCTTGCTGCCTCGACATCTTAATTGCTTTAATTTTTTTCGTTTTTTTTTTTTTCCCTTTCGAGTGGATGGGTTACGTAAGTCACCAATCTCTTAAAAGATATCTAAGGGCTGCTCAAAGTTTCCAAGTAAAATACCTTATCACGAAAATTATTTTTCCATGCGTCACATGCACTTAGAACAGTCTTTTTTTCTTTTTTCTTTTTTTATCTTCCATAAGGATTTCAATTTTTTTTGTTCTTAAAGTACTTGTTTGAGCACGAGATCAGGACTAAATCTCCAAAGTGTAATTTCTTCATTTTTTTCAACTATAGAACGAGATCAGGACTAAATCTCCAAAGTGTAATTTCTTCATTTTTTTCAACTATAGAACAAAAATTTATGGTGAAACCAAATTTCCGATAGCGTGGTGGGAAAGTTTTTCTATTATTATTTTTTTACAATAGAAATTTTTATGTTGGAAATTTTTTTGTTTTTTTATTTGCCCTAAATGATATTGCAACAATTTGGGTAATTTTTTCTTTAAGAATAAATGAAGAGGAAATAGTTCCTAAATAATTGAAATGTGTCATTATTGATTAGGTGGATGGACCGGCTCATCTCTACAAAGAATAAAAAATAATAATAAATAAATAGATAAATGACGGGAAAAAAAAAACAAAAGGTGGATTTCTCTAGAATCTATTTTGTGATCTTTGGACCTAAAGTCGTACAACCGCAAGACGTGAAACTGGATGGCACGATGTGTCGTTTTTCGTAAAAAAATATATGATCTTTGACTTACATACTAGTCATAAAAGAGCCAATGTGGACTCCTCGTTGTTTTCAGGATTAAGATGTGTTGAGAACCGAGGATACTCTCCCCGGCTTTGTTAAACTTGTGCACGTTTGCAATGCTCTTACTTGTTGAAAATTCATTTACCCATTTAAAATTTTTTAATAATAAAAGAAATTTTTTAAGTCTTAAAATGTAGAAATAAGGTGCATCTCAAAAATCTATGGAAAAAAATTGTTCTGATGTTGGAAAACCTTATTATCGATTATCTCGATACCGAAATATATATTTATGAAGAAAATAAATTTGACTCGCAAAAATAGTCTATCTTGCAACACATTATCTAGAGCGTCCATTTTCAAGATTTTCAAATGTTTATAGATCTACTTAATTTGAACAATTTTTGAAGTTTAAAATTTTATAGTTAGAGATGAAAATAAATTCTCAAACCATCCTAAGAATTTTTAACACCAAAATTAATGATAAAATTTGGAGGTGCTTATTTGATTCTTTAAAGTTGCAACCTTATGCAAACCGCACCTTCGTATAAAATTTTCAGATCCGTTTTGGATCAACTTTTGAAGTTTTTTTGCGAAATCAAAAGTAAGTACTTGGAGTCAGATCCGTTTTGGATCAACTTTTGAAGTTTTTTAGCGAAATCAAAAGTAAGTACTTGGAGTCAGTGTTTGCCAACTTGGTTCGAGTTCTGAGTACTTGAGCCAAGTACCCTGGCGAGCTCGAGTTTCCTCGAGACGGGTGTCCCACAAAGATATTAAATAAAAAGAAAAAATCTCAAAAAATAAAAAATTTATTTGTGATATGTTGTTTTTCTGTTTTTTATCATTTTGGCAAATATTGAAAATTTTTTTGGCCATGAGTACTTGTTTTACATTTTTCTTTTCTTTGTGAATTATTTCTAAAATACCTTCAGTTACAAATTGGTTTTTTCAAACTCAAACCTTTGGTACTTTTTAACCACATTTAGAGGTATTTTGTTTAATTTTACTTTAAATCTATTTTTCCTATTTTTATTTTTTGTAATTTTTTATTTTACAGTACTCGAACGTACATGGCCCGACCTGTGGATTCGAAAATTTGCTTCAACTATATATAAAATTGGGTTTCAGCATTAAATTATTTGGGTGATTGCCTGTACGATATTTTTCTAGGGAGATATATGCCGCATGATGAAACTTTTACCTTTGTCAATGTGGGTCACTAGGTTGAGTAGGTCACATCTTTGGAATTTGGGTCTTAAAATTACTCCTAGCTGGGGTTTATCCACAATTTGTTCACATATAATTTTATTTCAAATGAATTAAATTTGGAGTTTTTTTTTGATAAAAAATTTTGGGACCCACTAGAGAATCACTTGATGAGCAATTTTTAGGGGCAGAAAAAACAGAAAAAACAAATGATGATGGGTGCCTAAGCCCCTTGATTGATCGATGGATTAAATGTGGGACTACTTGTGCATGACGTTTTTTATGCTTATCTACAAAACTTGTCTTTTTTTTGGTTGGTGGCTAAGTTGATTTGTTATGCTTATCGACATAAAATTTATCTTTATTTGTTTGATTGCTAAGTGGAGTGGGTCATATCTTCAAAATTTAGGATCCAAAATTGCTCCTTTTGCTCCTGTGGGAGCCAACAATCCTTTTATTTGAATGTACTAGTAGAGAAATCTGGCATTCCATGAGCCATAAACCTAGATTGCCCACCCACCCACCCACCCAACGCGATTGAGATTACATCCTGGGGCATTAAAACATTAAGTTATCATACATGAATTGTATTAAAAGTCCTTTGGTTATTATAGCAAACCTCGAAATCCGTAATTACAAAAATCTGAAGCATGGGTCTTGCTTTATGTTGACCAAACTCTTCCTGTTTCCTTGCTTCTTTAAATCTGTACTCTTTCTCTCTCTCATTTCTTCACGCCCATTTCTCCATCGAGATAACCTAACTACACTACTTCAAATCCACACCGATTTCTTCCCTCCATTTCTTCAGGGAAAAAGTTTATATAAGGTTGCAATCTTAAAATGTAGAATTAAAGATGCACATCAAAAAGCCATAAAAAAATGTTGTTTTAATGTTGAGAAACCCTTTAATTGATCATCTCGACATCCAAATGTATGAATATGAAAAAAAACAAAAAAAAATTGAGTCCCAAAAATAATGCATCTTGCAACACATTATCTAAAATGTCCATTTCTATAATTTTCATATGTTTATAGATCTATTTGATTTTAACTATTTTTGGTGTTTAAAATCTTATAATTAAATCTGAAAATACATTTTCATGTAATCTTAAGAATTTTTTATACCAAAATTACATGTTATTATAAAATTGGGAGGTGAGCCTTAATTGGATTGTTTAATGTTGTAATCTTATAGAAGCCACACCCTTATATTGAGTCAAGCCCACTTGCGCAAAGTTAATGTCCTCACCATCGTCCCACCTTATCTAAACACAACTTGTATCATTTGCAAAGATTATCCAATGTGAGTCTCTTGCCAGGAGGAGCATGATATAAGTTGCTACCACAGGAGCACAAAAATACAGGTCCCTTTAATCTTGAATGTACATTTACTCCCTGGGTAAAATCTTACCTAGAATTAATTGTTGCTGGTCTTCCTTCAAATTTTAGGGGTGTGACCTATTCAACCCATAGATTAACCTCTACCCTCTACCCATTTGAAAGAAATAATATCTCAAGATTAAATAAACACCATCTAATTTTTAGATGGTGAGATCTAAGCGTTTGAAAACTCAAAAGGAAAATTGCTTCATGCGGGCTAGACCGCATTTCTACATATGCAGCTCAAAAAGTGTAAAGCATTCATCTTAAAAATGGATGCAAGTAGGTGTTCCATCTAAAAACAGTGGAAATTAACGATCCAAATGTTTTCTTACTAGAATTATTATTTCTAGTTTTTTAAAATGTATTTATTTTTTCATATTCATGATCTCCATGTTAGAGATTACATGTCCTTAAAAATTAATTTTTAAAATCTATTTAAAAAATAGATTTATTAAGAAGCCCGTATTTTTACATGTGTGGGTTTGGCCGCATAGAAACCTCAAACTCAAATTTCAATTTTTTTAATATAATTATATAATAATTTTTGAGTGGTTCCAAAAATATCATATTAAACTTTCCCAAGTATTTTTATTTTTTTGGGTTTTATATAAACTTTCCCTTTATAGAAATGAGGCAAGTATAGGCCCTCATAATATCAGGCCTTTGACCGTGCTTTTAGTAACACCTTTTGCACTTTTGAACAAGACAGGCTGCAGAGGGAGCAAGAACTCGAAAGGCATCAAGAATAATTGGAGTGGATATAAACCCCGATAAATTTATTAAGGGTAACATGCAAACGTACCATAAATTCTTGTTTCTATTATCGTTACTTGTCTCACAATGGAACTTGTTCTCTTCTCATCTCATTTTAAAAATGTTTTTACTCAGGCAAAACAAAGGGTATTACTGATTTCGTGAACCCGAATGAATGCGACAAACCTGTGCATGAGGTAGGTTTCTTATTTATTGATTAAGTGATCGAAATGTTTGATTGACCCATGGAAGCACGTTTGGTTGTGGTGAAATTATTTTATGGAAATTAATTTCATATGAAAAAATTTTCTTATGTGATTAAGTGTGGAAATTTTTTTACATCAATTAGTTGTCAATTGATGTAATAATATGCGCTAAGACCAATTGGTATGAATATATTTCCACATTTAACCACAAAAGAGAATTTTTTAATGTGAAATTATTTAACGTGCCTACAAAATTGGTGAGATGTATTTCGAAGGGTAGAGTTTAGGTGGGAGGGGGAAGTACCTGTTATTGGGAGCTCACCCCTCTCAATTTCAACTTTCTACACATCTTTTTTCCAATACTTTTTCTATTATAACCAAAACCTCAATACTATTTTTCCTTGTATCGAAACATTTTGAGATCAAAATTTCTTTTTTCCCCTTCCCCTTTTTTCTCTTTGTCCTTTTAAACACGTGACATTCTCTTACTCTCTCTACCTCTCGCTTTTTCTTTCTTCTTTTTTCGCTCTGTCTCTACCCTGCCCCTCACTGTCTCTACCCTCCCCCTCTCTCTCTGTCTCGCTCTCGGTCTCTTTCTACCCTCCTTCATTTTTTCTCTCTATTACTCATATATCCTTATTGCGGTTTGGCTCGTTTTTGTACCAGACCAAAATTTTTGTGCGTTTTGGAATAAAAACATGTCGGACCGCATTGGATTCCAATTACTTTCATATGCCTATAATGCGGTCCGGCATGTTTTTGTGTTGGTTTGCAAAATTTTTTTCGGTCCGATACAAAAACTTGTCGGTCCGCATTATGGGCATGTGAGTAGTAGAAGGAGAAAGAATGAGGGAGGGTTGAGAAAGAGAGAAATAGAGAGAGTGAGGGAGGGTAGAGAGAGAAAGTTGGATAGAGAAAAACGGTAAGGAAAGGTAAAGAGAAAGAATGAGGGAGGGTAGAGAGAGAAAGTTGGATAGAGAAAAACGGTAAGGAAAGGTAGAGAGAAAGAATGAGGGAGGGTAGAGAGAGAAAGAGTGAGCGAGGTTAGAGAGAGATGGAGAGAGAAATGGGTGAAAAGAGAGAGAAAACGGGTGAGAGTTTGTTTTGGTGACTAGAGACAGTTTGATAGAGTGAAATATAGAAATGTATGTTGAAAAGGGAAAAGGAGAGAAAAAAAGGCATTTTGATCTCAAAATGCTTTGATTATTTGACTCGGGGTTATATACAAAGGAAAATAGTATTGGGATTTAGGGTATAATAAAAAAAGTATTAGAGGGTAGGATGTGTAGAAAGTTGAAATTGAAAAGTATCTATAATTTTTCCTAAAAAAATAAGAAATTTATTTGAGATATATTTTTTTTATAAATTTTTTATCATTTTGGCAAGGATTGGAAAGCGATTGGCCCTAAATGCTTATTTTTACATTTTCCCATCTTTTTTAAACATTTCGAAAATACCTCTAGTTGATTTTTTAGAATCTATTATGTTATTACTTTTTTAAGATCATTTTTTTAACATTATTTTGGAAGTGTTCTGCTTAATCTTACTTTAAATATACATTTCTTATTTTTTGATTTTTTTATATTTTTTTTATAGTTTTTAACTTTAGTTTTTCTTACTGCAATACTTGCCATTAATGAACCTAGTTACTCGAACTCGGCCTGAGTCGCATTTTCTAGCACCGTTTAGAACATGAATTTAAAAATGAAAATGAATTTTATAAAGTTGCCTAAGATATCCCATAGCCTTGAGGCCCTTGAGGTTGAGGCCACTGCCACAGACTTATTAGGTTCTTGGTGGTTCAATGTATATATCTGGTAGATCCTTGACCGGTTAGATAATGAAAATGTTAAAGAAAGAGATGGGAAAACGGGTACGAGTATAAAAGGTTTTGAGATTTTTGTATTGCTTAATTTTTTAGACAAAAAATATATTTCCTAGATAAGAATAACTATCTACTGTATTTCTAATTTTCTATACAAAAATATATATTTTCTTGATAAGACTAACTATCGGATGGGGATAACAAATCCAGGTGCTTAATTGCCACTTTACCAGAAAAGGACATTGGGATTTGGTACTTCCAAAGATATGAATAGGATTATAACAAGGGTGTATATACTGTGTTCGCTTGGGAGCACACGGTATATCTACTACTGCATTAAAAAAAACCTGTCTAGGAAGATTTTTTGTTCAAAGATTTTGGGAAAAGCATAAGAATTACCAGATCACTATTTTTAAAAAAAAATTTTGAATTTTGAGTTTTGTAACATTAGATCTAGCCCTGGAAAAATTGGCCGTTCACTATTCAATCTTGATATAATATTTTTTTTAATTATTTGAAGAGTTTATTTCATAATTTTTTATTTATTTTTACTGATGTTAGTATATGGGTTGTAGAGATTATATTTCCAAAATTTAAAGTCTGAAACGTATTTGTAGCCCGTGGGAGTCCACGGGAGTAGGAAATCTTTTGGCCTAAATGACTTTGACATGAATTTTGGGGTCATAAATGCTTTGGCTTGGTTGTTTAATTGAAGTGAATGACCTTTTTGAATCACATGCATGCACAAGTTGATTTTTTAAAATCTATTATTTCAAAACTAACCCCAGTCACAAGTTGATTTTTTAAGGGTAGGGTTTCTATAAGGATGCAACTTTAAACAATCCAATTAACGTGCACCTTAAAATTTTATCATAACATGTAATTTTGTTATAAAAAATTATTGGTGTTATCTTAAAATCTACTTTCATACCTAATTAGAAAATTTTAAATTCCAAAAATGGTTAAAATCAAGTAGATCTATAGATATATATGAAAATCTTGAAAATGGAAGATCTAGATAATGTGTTGGAAAACACTATTTTCGGGAGTCAAAAACCTTTTTTTTGTCATATTTATACATCTCAATGTCGAGATGATCGATTCAAGGGTTTATTCAACATCAAAACAACGTTTCTTATGGATTTTTGAGGTGCATATGTGATTCTGCATTTTAAGGTTGAAACCTTATATACACTTTTCCCTTTTTAAAATATGTTTTATTACTATTATTTTTTAGAGTAATGATCCTATGAGACACTCCCACGCCTATGTGTGTAGGACCTCAAAGGATCGCCATTAAATTTGGTACAAATATCTAGAAAAGTTATCCCATGGGTGTAACACTTGATTTTTCTAGAGATCTGTGTCAAATTTAATGGTGATTCTTTGGGGTCTTACACACATGGGTGTGGGAAGATCTTATAACCCCCCTCCCCCTACACACATAGGACTCAAGCACGGATCTATCCAAAAGATCGCCATTAAATTTGACACGGATCTATAGAAAAGTCAAGTCCTACATTCATGTGATAACTTTTTCAGAGATCCGTGTCAACTTTAATGGTGATCTTTTGGAGTCCTACACACATGGGTGAGGGAGGGTCCTATAGGTTCAGTACTATTTTTAATATCATTTTGAAGCATTTTGTTTAATCCTTAAACATACATTTCCTATGTTTTAAGATTTTTTATATTTTTGTTATAATTTTTTAACCTTTTTTGGGATGCTACAATACTCAGCACTAATCTGCCCGAGTAATTCTCTTGAGTCAGGACTGATTACTCAGCCCAAGTCGCACTTCACATCCTCTTGGAGACCTCGTAGGTGGTTGAAAAGGTTAGGAGCATAATTAGCAAGTATTCGTTTAGAACACGATTTTTTCAAAAAATCTCCGATTTTTTGGAATCCAATTAGAATTCCGAATTTTTAAAATGATATTCAAAAAATCATGTTTTTTTAGTGGAACCGATATAAATCTGCATTTTATATTTTTTCGAAAAACCTTTTCAAAAAAACTTCTTCCCTGGAGCTTTATTTCTTTTTTAAGTTAATATTATTGAATTCTAGTATATTATCAGATGGAGTAAATTTAAAATCTTGATTTAACAAAAAATTCGATCAAAAATTTCATTAATGAGTTCCTTAAAAAAGTGCTCGAAAAATATACAAACAATATATTCCCCCAAACAAGAAATCAAAGCAATAATATATCTTCAAATAATAGGGTAGAATTCAAATAATAGGGTAGAATTAAAGGAAGAGTAACCCAATGGAAAATCTTTTTTTTTTCCCTTTAAACCTAGAGCGTCCTTAGAATGAGCAAGAGAGGGATTCAATGATACTTAAAATTTTAGGTAGAGTTAGATTCGAATTTTCTGAAGCATTTTGTTGTTTTTCTTTATGCATAGAGAAGTTTGATTAATTTCATATCTTATTTTTTATTTTTTATTTCATTGGTCATACAACATAGCATTTTGGATGACCCACTATTTTATATATTTGGGCTTTTGCATTTTCTTTTAATTAACTGCAATCTTATGTTTGGTGCATTTTTTTATTTTTTTTTAAAAAATAATCCTATACCTTGGTTCATAGTTCTTGTTATTTGCTAATTAGTTCTTGTGTTTAGTATTGTTGTTGTTGTTTCATTTTATGTTCGTAATAAATCTACGATATGTTTTGTGATGTGGCAACATACTAAGTATTGTCACAGGAGTTATTAAAAGTTTCAACAAAAAATTGTCAAGTATTACTCTAATGACACTAATAAGGTTATAAAATTATTATTTAATAGCTTTAAATATGTGTACAATAGTTGCAAATCATACCTATATCGTGTTATTTTTACATATCTGATTTTTTCATTATATTTTTTTAACCAAATCTAAAATTAATTTTTTTTTAAAAAACCAAATCTAAAATATTCATTAGTCTATAACTTACCATTTATTTTGGCAATCCATATTTTTTATCCAATTTTTTCTTCCAACTTTTTGAAACAAAAACGATTTGTTGCGATCTTTCGGTCTGCCGACATTTTGTTATCTCCTACTCGTCAACTATGGGTAAGAGGCACTTTCTAGATCCTTGCCGGGGTAGAAACGGAATATACAAAAGAAAAAGATGGAAAAAAAGGTTACGAGTATAAAAAGTGCGGTTTGTAAGAGCTTAGGCTCTAAACAATCAAATTAGAGCCTACCTTCAAATAGTATCGAGAAATGTAGTTTCAATGTTGAAAATCTGTGATAGCCTTAAAATATATTTTTATATTATTTATAAAGTTTAAAGTGTCAAAAATAGTGTAGATCGATAAGTTTATGAAAATTTGAAAATCTTGAAAATTGACCGTCTAAAAATGCAATACAAAATATACTATTTTCAAAACTTGAAATCTATTTTTTGTCATGTATATACATCTTGATGTCGAGATGATCAATTTAAAGATATTTGAGCATCAAAACATCAACTTCTAATGAAATTTTTGAAGTAGGCTCAAATTTGATTGGTTTGAGCCTCTGCTTTATATAACTCTCAGGTATAAAAAGTTTTGAGATTTTTATATTCATCTAAGACAAAAGAAGATGTAAACGGGTGTCCCTTGCCTTTTTATTGGGGATCGCAAAAGATGTACACGGGTGTCCCTTCCCTTTTTATTGAGGATCACAAGCTTCAACCTGGTGCTTACTTGCTATTTCTCGAGGAAAAGACGTTAGGAACTGGTCCTTCCTTTTTTTATAGGATTATATGAAGAGCGCATATACCGTGCTCCGTCGCTGCCTATATACTCCCTCTCACTCAAAAGCCCTAGAAGATTAATTTTCTTTGTCTAAATTTTGGGAAAAGCATAAGCGTTATCGGAACATATTTTAAAAAATTTGAATTTTGAGTTTTTTCACGCTTAGATCTAGCCTTTTAAAAATTAGACGGTCTCTATTCCATCTTGATATATTATTTTTTCTAATATTAAGAGAGTTTATTTTATAATTGTTTTTTATTTTTTATTTATAATGATGTCAGTCTATGGGCTGTAGAGATTACATTTTCAAAATTTGAGATTTAAAAAGTATTCCTAGCATATATTTTGCCTTAGAGAGTAAATGGATAGTATACTAGTAGGAAATCTTTTGGCATAAACGACTTTCCGAAGGCATGAAATCTGGGTTCATAAATGCTTTTGTCTTGGTTGCTTAATTGAAGTGTCTTTAAATTGAGTTTTTGGGCACAGGTAATAAGGGAGATGACAGGTGGTGGGGTGGACTATAGCTTCGAGTGTGCAGGGAACTTGGACGTGCTCAGGGAGGCTTTTTTGTCTACGCATAATGTAAGTTGTTTTATATTTAATTTTTTTGGAACATATCACTAAAATGGTACTTATTTTAAAGTCTCAATGAATTGATCAAGTCAAGCAATTTAGTGCTTACTTTAAGAAAATTATTGATATATTCACTAATATAATATCACCTAAACTATTATGCTCTAAGTACCCAAAATGTTCATGTCTTGTTTTAGATTTAGAATTGACAATTTTGCTTCGCTAAGGTTGCTCAAGGACAATGATTTAAATACTTTTGTTAGTTCTTAGCTCCAAGCCTGATTTTGTTTTTTTTCTAATACCTTGTTCTATATTTGAAATCGAAAACAAAAATAAATATTTGTATCATTTGGTCGGATTTGAATGATTGAAGTGATGAAACTGCTCCCGTTTTTACGTTACTCCGTCTTAAAATGTTATGTAATATGGAACATGGACCTAGTGAGGGCATTTTGCTAAGTTCATCTTACTAGTGCTATCACGCACTACAAGAATACCTTCTCAATAAAAACAGGAAATCAGGATCATCAGATGTAAAATTTAGTGGTTGCATTTATTCTGTTTGACTAGGCTAAAGTTCAAAAGGAATTTTTACAAATTTTTGACATGCAACTATAGGTTAGGTGATCATGACATCCTTGCACTAAAATTAACTAATGATGTTATAAAATCCCATAAAGATATGTTCACACAATGGGTACAATGCTATTTGGACAAGAAGATAGCTTCAAAATTTAAGCAGCACCAGTCCAAACATCAAATCCATAGTTTTTAAACCTGATTTGATTGAGTCGGAGTTCTTCAGCTCAAACAGATCAGGGAGCAAAATGTGTCAAATATATGATGCAGTTTTCTCCAATTCTATACGATGACTCGGCCTCCAGAGTGGAGTTACATTCACTTGCGCCTTCTTGGTTGAGTCCAACTTCGTGTCCGGATTTGTGAACCATGGACTAAATTTCACATAATTGTGTTTCTACACTGCTAAAAAGTTCCCCAAGGGGTCAACCTTTTCCTAGATACCTCAAATCTCAAGTACTAAACTAGTACATGGCATGTTTGATGTTATGAAAGTCTTTATTTTATATAAAAATGTGAGAAAGGTGAGATGAAATGGAAGTTAATTTCTTTCCTATTCACCAATGCCAAGCTTTTGATTTTTTTTTTTTTTGGGTTAATCAGTGGGATGATGAGACCCTACCCTTGTTTGTTTTGTATTAATAATCCATGCTTCTTGAAGACATAGTTGGCTTTGTTAAGGCTTGCTTTTCGAGTTATTTAATTCATTGCATGATGAAAACAATAGGGAGGCGGATTGACTGTTATACTTGGAGTTCACCCTACGCCAAGGATGTTGCCCGTACACCCTATGGAATTAATGGGTGGAAGAAGCATGGTGGCCTCTGCATTTGGAGGCTTCAAGAAAACCCAGCTGCCTGATTTTGCTGTAAAATGCATGAATGGGGTAAGCCTTGAATTTTCCTCTTCTTAAATACATGGACTAACTAATCCTTAATCACTTTTGGGGTATTTAACAACGGGACCCGGTTTCTTTACGGTCAAACCCGCATATGTAGAAATGCAAGTCTCTTGATAAACCTATTTTTGAGATGGATTTTAAGACTTAATTTTTAAGGATATGTAATATCTATATGGAGATATGAATATGAAAAAAAATAAATTAAAAAAAATAATAATAATTATTATAGTAAGAAAACATTTGGACCGTTGGTTTCCATTGTTTTTAGATGGAACACCTACTTACATTCATATTTAAGACGGATACTTTGCACTTTTTAGACCGCACAGTAGAAATGCGGTTCAACCCGCATGAAACAATTTTCCTTAACAATATCAATATTAACATCAATTAAACTTGATTTTTGAAATTGCTGGCACGTTCCATTTCACAAAATCAAAAAAAAGAAAATATAATTGTGACCAAAATAATTAGTGAAAATTATACATATATCTCTTATTTTTAATGATATTATGGTATGACCTAAATTTTCTGTTATTTCCACTCTACCCATTTTATATGTGTTGTTACAACTTTCTGTCGGTATTTTTAACAATGTCCAAGTTGCCCTTTTGGATTTTCAATATCTGGAGTTTATGTTCATGCCAAGTGCCACAAATTACACTTTCGGAGTCTCAGTAACCAAAAAGTTTAGAATTTCGGATTCTCAATGTCTGAATTCTATTTTGAGAAAGGTTTCTATGCTTCCCCTACAACATAGAAGATCTCTGCTTCCCCTACCATCCAGTTGTCTAATTTTGATCAAAGAGAGCCACTCACCGTTTGATCTTAGATCCGATGTCTCAAAGTATTTTATTTTTAGTTTTTTTGTACAAATTGTATGAATATGAAATTTGGTACGTGTCATATTCTCATTGGGGCTTACCTATAAAAAATATTAAAAATAATTTTTCGATAAAATATAATAATCAAATACCCCTTGAAAATTTCAGGGGTATTTTGGTCATTTTATTTATTGAAAATATTTTTTTTTATATTTTTCACTAGAACGAGTTTAATAGAAGATTGGATGTCCAAAATTTGGTGTAAAAATAGTTTATAGAAAAAAAATTAAAAATAAAATAGTGTAGAGACGTGACATTATGATTGGGGCAAGCTTAGCCTTCCATTCAGAATGGACGGTTGGATAAGGGAGAAGTATATAAGTTTTATGGTGTAGGGGTAGTATAGAAAGCTTGCCCTTTCTTTATTCATTCGTCAATAAACAATAAAAAACCATTAACTTTTTGAAAGCCAACAATTTAAAACTCTTTTACGCTCATGAAAACGTATCTTTTGGGACTGAATTTTTTTTAGTTCGTATGTCGAAGATCCGAAAATAGGGTAATTTCGGACTTTGGAGGTTCAAAATGTTTTTTTGGACCTTGAATACTTTAAATTTTGTTTTTATTTCGGATCCCTAAGATCCAAAAATAGGACAATTTTGGAAATGAACGTCGGGCTCCTAGGTTACCTCTTTCAATTTGAGAAAGGTTATTGTAAGGACGGAAATGATCATTATGGTATAGCTCGGCATAGAGATTATGTAGAATTCACATAAGAAAAAGGTTTTTACTTACGGGAAATGATCTAATTCAACGGTTGTATCATAGTATAACGTAACTACATTTCTAGAAAATCATGTTTGGGGCTCTCATCTCAATAATCAACCTAAAAATAAAAAAACACTAATTTGCACCTATATATGGTGAAATGAATCCTTTCCAACAATGAATCGTAACCATCCATTTGATGAATTTCAAGATCATGCATTTATGAATTCAAAATCTATATTTTTTTAATATTGTTAATTTAATGATAATAAACTTATTTAAAAGTTTTAGAAAGAAAAAAATATCATTTTAAGGTTTAGATCTAAACATCTCACCAAAATGGAGGGCTCATGTGAATTGAGCTAAAAAAATACTTTCTAGGCTACTTTTTCAAATTTATCTTTTTTGTGATGATGGTTCATTAGATTGAAAAGTGTGTATATTTTAAAATTTGAATCAATAAAATGGCTCTAACATGATTTTGATTATTGTTGCATTATATTACTATACAACCGTTGCATGAAATCACTTACATTTACTAAAGGAAAAGTATACAAGGAGACCATTTATGTTTGGTACAAGGTAGTCACAATTAATCTTTGACCATTGGATGTGAAAATCAACGGGTGCATTATTCCATTGACCGAGTTCAAACTTTAAAAGAAATTTTCTTCAACTTTGTGATACACCAAAGCTATCAGATTACACACCGGATAGTTTTAAGCAATTGTTACTTCCTTGCAACAAAGGTAAATGGTCTCATTGTATGCAATCCTTTTACTAAATGATATCATAAGAAATTCAAGGATCGAAATATCTAAATATTAAATTCTACATTTATAAACAGCGAGACTTCCTAAATATGCAAATATAAGATCCCTAAATACATTTACAACCTGCAAGATGTGGTAAGAAATTATGTCAATAACAATAATTTATTTTGCATCAAGGACTTAGGTCTTATGGTAAACTTTTATGGAGACAATGGGCCTTCCTTTCATCTTTATGAAAAATAAAAGTCATAAGGAAAAAGTTATCATTGTGATAATTATGATATTGAAGCCATTGAAATGTTTATTATGGCTTATAATGATTATTCTTGGTTAAGTATAACTTATGACTATTTGAAGTTTGATTAATCCATTTTTGGAACCAGGAGGTAAATTTGGAAGGGTTCATCACGCATGAGATGCCATTCTCAAAGATCAACGAGGCATTTAAGCTTTTGGCAGAAGGAAAATGTTTGAGATGCTTGTTGCACCTTTGATGAAATTGCTTGGCAATCAGCAAAATCCTAATCGTTCAATGCTTTCAGGTCTTTTGTACCATTCTTTGAAGGATGCATGTCCTATGCTATATAGTTAAAATAATGGAATAAAAATCTAATGATTATTATTATAGTATTTGTTTTTTGGCTTTCACTGTAATCATGTTATATTGTAATACATAATGTTGTGAAAAGGTTGAATGCTCATTCAGGAGTGTACTGTGCATTCACTCAGGCAAAGCCCAACCTAGGAGTACCTTTTTGGTGCCCCAAATTTGGGGATTAATGGCTTAAACCTACCAACTGACCTTCAAAATAATAAAATTGAAATCATACTCTATTTGCCTGTAAAAGATAACGTTCCGAGATTGAACAAGTACCTAACTCAAAATCCAATTTCATTTATTAAATAATGATGTTGTGATTCTTAAAAAGAGTCTTAAATTTAGGATAGGCAAACCCTATGGAATAGGTGGAAGCATGGCATACATGCTCATACATAATTTCTTTTAGAAATTTTGTCCTTTTCCAGATCCGGTCTCATTGTCAAGGATTGCAGAACTTGATCCTCAGGGCGTTTGTATAGAACATTATTATTACCTTGGTGTGTTACTGATTAGCAATTTGTATTTTATATCATGAGACTAATGAAATTTAGTAGCTTCTGTACAATGTTTTACAAACTATCAGGGCAAAGAGTTGACAAAAACAAACATTCTATGGTTGTTCAAGAAACTTGACACCATTAAACATGTTTAGTAGTCTACCCATAATGAATTAAATGGGTCTGGTTGTCTACCAAAACATGCTCAATGTTGGAATATGTTGCTGACCAAGGCCTTAACACCATTAATCCATATAATTGAAGGCACCCTCCACGCACAAATTGATCTCGTTTTCATAAGCTCTTCCATTGATTTTTGGAGCATTTTGTATTTATATTTTTTTGAGTTTTTTACAACCAAATCAGTCAATTAGATCTTCTTTTTGATGCTTCAAATTGTTGTTTTTGTAAGAGGAGACTATGACCGAATTTATGTTGACTTGATTTGTGAATTCTTTGAACTGGTTTTGTATTTTACGAGCCGTGATTTCTCCCAAGATTTTCTCACCTGTTTTAATCATTTGTTGTATGCAAATCTTTCCATGTTTCAAGTATCTATTAGTAGAATGATTCATTCTAAAATTGATTATTTTGGTGAGATCTTGGATGAAAGATTTATATCTTAATCTTTGTGCTCGTGCTATTGATTTTTGCACCAAATCAACAATGATTTGGGCCTCCCATTCTTTCATTTTTCCAATGGTTTTGAAATCATTTTATGATCCTTCTCATGTAAATATGTTTCATGAAAGTGTAGATGATAGTTTTTAATTTTTGAATTTAGAATCAGTCCTCAAACTTCTTTGATTGGATTTGATTGGGATCACAATTTTGCCCACTAATCTGTCTAGCACCATGTGTCATAGGGGTGGGAGTATATGTCATCGATGTGGTACTATCTAGGGCGGCTCATTTTCCAAACAGAATCCCTCATGGTTTAAGGGTACCCATCTCTGCGCCTCCCTTGGCGGAAAGTTTTCCTTTCTTTCCCTCTGCTTAACCCCTCCTATTGTTTCTCTTTCTTGAATCTTTCATGTCATTGCTTTTCTTTTATTCACATTAACCTCCTCTATGGCACACATTATCTCTCGGCTCACCTCCAAAGGATAAACACCCCTTTAATTGCTGCTTCTTAAAGCATTTTGATATATTATTTACATAAACACCCCTTTAATTGTTTAAATGGTCATAAGCCCCAATTTTAATAACCTAAGTCCGAGTCCATCCAGTCTAGAAGCCTTGAAACTATTTTATTTTCCTCCATTGTTGTATAAATCCACCCGAGAAGAACCTCGTCTCCAAAGTCCAACATGAACTCTTCATCGATTCGCTCATTCATGATGTTCCTTGGTATGCCATGTTAGCCTTCTTCCACTCACCACCCCTTCAATCCTCCTATTAACCTCAATTCTTAAACTTGACAATCAATGGATTAATTGAAATCACTATACACATTTGCCCTCATATGTGATAAACAAGACCGGCATTCAGGAATAAGAGACCTCTAAAAAAAACAAAAAAAGACCTTTGGAAGAATGTGTTGGAAAGTTTTGGCAATGAACTCTTCTTAACTATTAAGTTCTTTCAATCTTCCGTGCAAAGGAAAAAGCATAGTACACGGGCACAGGGCAAAATTTGGGTCGGCATAAAGAGAACTTTTGTCAAAACTAACCGATGAGACCCATCAAAACTTCTCACTGGAATCATTATAGAGCCGGCCCTAGGGTCAAGTGGGACGGTTGAGAAGTTATTGTGAGTTATAACACCCCTAACCCTCCTGTATTTATTACACATGATAGTGATGTTTATGGCTCTAAAGAGAAACACCAAGAAGAGGAGTAAAATAAAGGCCACAACTAGAAAGAAGAGAGTGCCAAAACCTTGATCAACTCACAGAAGCCGAAAATTTGTGTGGAGAGAGAGAGAGAGATCTTAAAGAGGGAGAGAGAAATTGTCGATGGGAAACTGTTTTGCTAGCAAGCCTTTGATTTACCCTACTGGACAGATCGATGTGCACTTAGAGAAGTCCAACTCCGACGGGATTTACGCTGCTAGAAAAATGAATGTACCCATAGAGAGGCTCATCTCAAATGGGGAATCAGTGAGAGTGTGCCAAGTAAAGGTTCGGATGAGAAAGGCTGAGTTCATGGATTTGATCTCAGAGGTAGAGATGAGCAATAGAAAGGTTGAGCTCGGATGGTTGATCATGGACAGATGCCGGAAAGAAGGAACCAAGTATATCATTAGTAACTGCGAGAGTGTGGATCCTGTGAGCCTTGAGCCTATAAAAGAGGAGACCGGCTACTAGGTTCCCATTACTAGGGTATGTTGCATTATGCTATATGGAACTCTAGAATGTTATCTGAAATTGTAACAACTTAGTTTGTTTTGTGTGCCATTGTGTGCATATTTTATATTTGGACATTTTGTTTAGGCATATTAATATTTATAAACTATTCGCTCATGGGTATACAGTTGACTTGGGCAAAACATTCCTCACCCATACGGCATGGCCAAGTAACTCGGCGGAGTCCACATGAATTCTTCTGAGTCCCAGTAAATATAATATGATAGAAAAAATAAACTACCTCAGACGAGTTATTTGCTATCCCGACCTTTCCATGAGAATTGAGCCTCATAATGCAGGGACAAAGGTCTCTACAGGCAGTTGTATTGCAATTTTAAGTTTATTTACATTGAGACCAGGTTACAATAAAAGAGGACTAGTTTTCTGCTAAGAGAAATGACTCTACAGAAAGGTCACAACCTTCATATCGAAACCCAAATCAAGATTTCTAAACTTGGAAATCAAATTTTTATTTCCATCAGTACCTGTTTGGCATTTGTTTTTTATTTGGCAATACAAATCTTATGCCTGAATTCCATTTCTAATCAAGATTGGAATTTCAAGAGTCCCTCAATTCCATTCACCTGTTCTTTGATGTTCTTTGATGATGCGCTTACCTAAGTCACTGAACTCTAAATTTTCCTGCAACGGCTGCTATTTTCTTTTCCTCATCGTGTTTTAATTTTTTTAAATTTCTATTTTCTGGATGAATTTTTTGGTATATCTTATGCCTTACATAACTATAATTTTATGCACTTATATACTTACAAGTACATCCTGTAAAGCATAAGATATACCAAAAATTCATCCAGAAAATAGAAATTTTAAAAAATTAAAACACGATGAGGAAAAGAAAATAGCAGCTGTTGCAGGAAAATGCACAAAGGGCTGATTTTAGTTTTCTCCAACATATTTCTTTGAAGAGAACAATAACTTATCCCAAAACTAGTTTGTTGCAATGGCGACCTTCCCTTTTGGAGAAAATTATGTAGGGACCATATTGGGGTCTATTACCATTTGGTGTCTCATTTGCCCAATATTACGAGCACCACCCCTTGCCCATGGCGTTTTTTTTCCCTAAATTACCCCGCAATGAAAACACCGGTCAAGGAGGCTATTTTTCTGCTCATTTCCTTTTAAGTGAACTGCTATTTGTTGTTCGGTATTTGAAGTACCGGACAACCATATGGACAATAGATTCCAGCGCTTGTGCTTCACCCCAAACAATGCTATATTACCTTATTTGACATTGACCACGCTCCCCCAAGATTCAGAGTATGGAACTGCACGATACTGATGTTGGATTCACCAGGAAGCAGTTCCCAGAGATACCCTTTTGTTTAAATTTTTTGGATATGGCTCTAATACCTTGTTGAAATTTTATGGATGCTCTGATACCACTGATAGGCCTTTTTTTCTTTTTTAAGTATGCGTAGCTGCTACCACTTTGGGTTCTTTTCAAAAGCATGCACTCACTTTTGGAGATAATCATAAACTCAAGGTTTTTTCCACATATATCATTTCACATATTCATCCACAGGTTACATACAAGTTACATACACTCGTTGCTTTCACAGGTTGCACATATCTACATCCACAGGCACAAGTTGCATACAAGTTACATGCTCTCATTGCTTTCACAGGTTGCACATATCTCATTACATGATGCCGATATATAGGCGTCTAGAACAATTATGCGACTACCCACAACTCACAACTCATGACTCACAAACCTGATTTGATAACTACCTGCAAAGCATACATGTTTAGATAACTCCAATTACCCATTACCCATAAAGCTACGTGATCTGATAACTCCCACAAAGTAACTACCTACTAACACTATATAGAGAGAGATAACTACCGATTATTCTACTTAGAGAGAGATAAGAAAGACACGAACATGGACCCCACATCTCCTATTAGTTTGCATCATCTTCAACATTCCCCCATGATGCAAAATTTTCTACTCCTTTTTCTGTTTTTAATTTTCATGTACATGATTTTCAATAAAATTGCAAAGGTTTTCATTTTTCTCTGTCAATGCCAAATCTAGGGTTTCAAGCTTTTCAATATGCTTCTTCATTTCACAAATTTCTTCTTCCTTTACAATCTTCATATTCTCTTCTTCGTCATCTTTAATTTCAATGACTTCTTTCATTTTTACCAATTGTGATATGACAAAATAGACTGTACTGTGTTCGGCTTAATTTTCATATCCATATAGGATCCTGAAAATTCTTTTCATCTGACTTCTACCTCATAGATAAAAATAAGATTGTAGTCTGGTTCCCCCTTGATAATTTTGTAAATTGGTTTTTCAATTTTTTTTTTTTGACAAAATTCATTCAACTTGCTTTTTAGAGTAGCAATTGCCATATTTCTTGACGTATTTTCTGCTAAAACAAATTGCAGCAATTAGTTTTCTTTTTAATTCCCTTTTTTTGAAACATTTTTCTCCTATTTTTTTATGCCTTCTCATGACATAACACTCTAGGATTGCTGTCTTCCCTTCCTTTTTTTTTTTTCTTCAAAAAGAACATTTCTTTTTTTTATGCCTTCTAGTGGCATCATTATGCCTTTTCATGACATGACAAACTAGGACTTCGATGCCCTGTTTTTCTAAACACAATTTCTTTTTTATGCCTTTTGATTAGACACCCTTATGCTTTTTCATGGTATCATCATGCCTTTCCATGACATGACAAACTAGGACTGCGATGTCCTATTTTCATTTTTTCCAAAAATCATTTTTTCTATACCTACACTAGACATGGATTTCCCATCATGCCTTTCCATGGCACGACATACCAGGACTACAGTATCCTGTTTCTTTTCTTTCCCAAAAATTATTTTTTCATTTTTCCTATGCCTATATAGTCATGGATTTCCCATGAGGACTACTCATGTCCACCTTTCAGAATTTTTTTTTTAAATTTAATTTTCTGAAAACTTTTGCAAAAATACGATATCAAGAGCTCTCCAATTTTGTTTCCCAATTTTTTTTTAACATCTCCATCTTCTTTTTCAAAGAACATCACATTTAAGAAATTTTTTTTCTGTTTTTTTTAATGCAAATCACCTAATATTTTAATCAAAATATTTTTTTTGGTTTTTTTATTTATTTTTCAAAATTTCTTCATTTTAAATTTTCAATACTCATAAAATTCACCTTTGAAAATTGTAATGAATAGTTGAAAATTATTTCGACTACTAGGTGTGCCATATGGAATAAAGCAGGAAATTAAATAAAGATATTTAAATTGTTATAACCTTTTCCGTGAATTTTGTTTCTGACCTGCTGGATTAAATTGCCACACCAACTTCTTTTGTAACTTGCGATTTCCTTATTTCCTTTTTGGCAACCTAGGCTCTTCAATGCCCATCCTCAACTTGGACTCTCCACACCAGTGCCTATCTTTTTTTTTTTTTTTTTTACAACCTGAGCTCTCTATGCCAATGCCTATCCTTTTCATTTCACAACCTGGGCTCTGATGCCCATCTTTTTTTTTTTTGCACAACTTGTGTTCTGATACCACGTTAAAAGTTTTTAGATAAAGCTCTGAAACAATGTTGAAATTTTATGGATGCTCTGATACCACTGATATCGTTTTTTTCTTTTTTTTTAATATGTGTAGCTGCTACCACTTTGGGTTCTTTTCAAAAGCACGCACTCATTCTTGGAGATAATCACAAACTCAAGGTTTTTTCCACATATATCATTTCACATATTCATCCACAGGTTACATACAAGTTACATGCACTCGTTGCTTTCATTGGTTGCACATATCTACATCTACAAGCACAGGTTACATACAAGTTACATACACTTGTTGTTTTTACGGATTGCACATATCTCATTACATGATACCCATATATAGGCATTTACAACAGTTATGTAACTACCCATAACTCATAACCCACAACCCATGACTCACAAACTTGATTTGATAACAACCTACAAAGCATACGAGTTTAGATAACTCTAACTACTCATTACCCATAAAGCTACTCCCACAAAGTAACTACCTACTAACACCACATAGAGAGATAACTACCCATGACTCTACTTAGAGAGAGATAAGAAAGATACGAAGACCCCACATCTCCTTTTATTTTGCATCATCTTCAACAATTTCCTCTTCCTTGAACAATGGCATGAAGTGAAAATGGGGTTCCATTTACAGTGGCAGTCTCAGACTCTGGTTTCGATGATGATGACTCTGTGCGGCTGGGGCTTGGCCGATGCTCAAGCTCCTCAGATAGTAAAGGAAGCTCTGCAACTTCTTGCACCATGTTCCCTGCCAAAGAAACCGATAAAGAGACCTCAATGGACATGGACCTGAACTTCTAGCTCCACCTTGGTAAGTCTGCTAGCCCGACAAAGAAACATTCTTATTCAACCTTATAAAAACCCACGGGGCAACAATGACTACACAGAACCAAGTTGTCTTCTGCAACTAAGCCGCTCAACTGGACCATCGGAATCTGGAATCACAAGCATTGTTCTCATTTAGAAGTAAGAACCATGAGTCAGAAAAATCCAAAGTGACTGACAAGAGATCGTCCGCCAATGTGGAACGTGTTGAAGGCCATGTACTGCTGCGGGAGCAGAGAAGAGTGACAAACTAGGTTATTATAATGACATCATTAATAATGATGATACAGCATACTGCAAGGCCCATGGGGGCGGCGACAGTGCCAATTCCTGGGCTGCACCAACAGTGCCAAGGCACGCACGGACTTGTGCATCTCTCATGGAGAGGTCTGTTGATGTGGGCATGACGGCTGCACATGTGCAGCTCGTAGCAAGTCTGGGCTGTGCATCAGGCGTGGTGGGGGCAAGCGGTGCCAGCATGAAGGATGCACCAAGAGCACTAAAGGTTTCTCGAGGCTCTGCATCTTTAATGTTCCGGGCCGGCTGTGTCAGTTCCCGGTTTACTCCAAGGGCGCAAAAGGAAGCACACACTTTTGCAAGGCCCATGGAGGGGGGAAACGGTGCATATTGCCTAGTACCTGGATGCACCAAGAGTTTTGATGAGCACGTCATTCTGCAAGGGACATCGTATCAACATTTACCAATTTGCTCGGTCTATTTCTAGAAAGCTGTCCGGTACTTCAAACACCAGACACTAAATAACAGTTCATTTCAAAGGAAACCAGTTCTCGGTTTGTCTAGGATGAGACGGGTAGATCTCTATCCCAAAATCTATGATGTAATTTTCATTGGTGTAATGGATTTCAGTTTCCTGTGCAGTGGATTTAGCCCTTATGGGATGAACCACATAAGTCTTTGTGTTCTTGTGGTATGTGTTTCATGCTTTATTTCTCGAACTTTATTTGTGAAAAATCAACACATCAGATTTAGAGCTTCCACACACAACATTTAGGACCCAACATTTTTGTCTTTGCCCTATTTTGTACCCTCTTGAGAAACCCTGCAAGTAGCTCCTATATCTAACTTACCTCTTCATAAAAAGTAGCAAGACCCACCTACTCCGCAAGTCTCATGTAAAAGGTTATATAAGAATGTGCTATTGATATAAACATTTTACAATATATATAATGAATGGCAAATATGCATGTCCTTTTTGTGCTTGAATATTTGAAATTTTATTCATAAAATGAGTAAATTGTTTATGAGATAATTTTAGATTAACACAAAAAGAAATTTGATGTAGAAAATCAAGTAACATACATAGGATATTAGATTGAGTATTAGTTTAAGGAAAAGTCTTTCCAATGCCTATAGGTGATAGGGATCAGTGATTTCATCCTTGCCCTATCCACTATTTGTTTAAATGGGATGAAAGGAGAGGTTGGGATTGAATAAAAAAAAAAAGCACGAAACAAACGCTTCAAACCTTCAAAAGTTTCAACCTACCTCTCTCTTTCCGCTTCCCTTGCACTGTGGGCTTCCCTTTCTCTCGCTCACCCTCCCTCTGCTCTGCGAAGCCTCTTGCCCTCTCTCTACGAAGCCCTCTGTCTTGCTAGCGCTCCCATCTCTATTGCCCTCTTCTCTCACTGTGAAGCTTCTTGCTGCCAGAGCCACATACAAAGTTCTTTAACAAACCAGATGAGTCCTTCCATGCCCTCTCTCTCTCTCTCTATGTACACACATAGTTCTTCTCTATTGCCTAACCCACAATCTCTCAATAAACTCTAACCCCAATTCAAGAATAAAACCCAATTTTTTCCAAAACCAAACCAACACTTTTTATTCAAATCCTAATACAAAATATTGTAATAAAACCCACTTTTTTACCTAATAAAACACCAAAAACGGGAGAGAAAATCACAGACAGAAAGTAGAAGAGAAAACTATATATGAGATGAAATTTTGGATTTGGTTTAAAAAATTAGGTGATTTCAGTTTATCACAGTTTAAATCGAACCTTATCACGAATACACACCAAATATTGTTCTTTGATGTTCAAAACAATCCCAAAGTAGAAATAGTGAATGAAGCCCTCTATTTTATAGTGCTAGATGCAAAATCAGTGAGTAGAAAAAAGTTTTTACTTAATAAATCACAAAAAAGGACTGCCTCAATGTAAAATGATTTTGTTTTTTTTTTCTTCCTTCTTGTTGATAGCAATTGATTTTTTTATGGTATTATGTTGTTTATTTTGGTTTGATTTGTGGATTTTTTACTGATCGTTCATTAGGTCAAATGGGTAGTTTTAGTTCCTTTCTCTTTTGTTGTTTCTTTTTTTTTTTTTTCATTTTTGATATAGTCCTGAAGTGATTGTAGAGCAAAATTTTAGAGTGGTTTTTTGTTTTTCTTTTACCGATCGATTGCTTGTTTTTTGTTTGGTAACGTTTGCTAATACTCGGAATTAATGAGTAGAAAATATTTATTGAGAAATGAATATTAAAAAAATCATGTTTTTTAATTTGCCGTGGAGCATGGATGTAGAACATTTGTGATTCTAAGTTGATGTTGTTATTACTATCATTAGTACTATTTTGTTCTTCTTTCTCTCTTGGAAATAGCACTCTCTTTGTTTCGTTCCTCAAAGAAGAAACAGACTTTGTTGGCTTGCATATTATACTTTTTTTTCTCCCTAAATTTAGAAATTTTGACTTCAATAAATAGTTTCTAGGTTTTCATTGCCTTGATAAGTTTCATTTGTAAGATTTTGGCTACTTTTTTAATGGATGATTTTGGATTTCTTCTAATGTTTATTACAATTGTTAGGCAAATTACTTTCTCAAAAAAAAAAAAATCTTAAGCAAATTAAGTTGGATTTAGAATAACATTGTTTTCTGGCATCATTTTATGTATACAAGTGAAATGAACTTTTTTTTTAATGTTGCACTTTTTGTAGTGCAGCCTCCCAATATAGAGGAGCTCTATTATCTTCTGGTGAGATTAGCAGGGTTGGGCAGGACCTACAATGCATGTGTTATGGATGCCTTAACATCAGTATCTGCTTCTTCTCCTCTCAACATTACAAATTTGAAAAATGGGCATGAGTGTGGTGCTCGAGCTATGGTGGATGAAGCTTGCCATGGTTCTCCATCTGATGGAGAAGGAGATCCTATACTTATAGATGCAGAGCCAGCCCTAGCAAGAGGTGCAAGTATCGAACCGGCAATAAGAATGGCATTTACTGATGAAGAAGAAGCTTATGATTATTATAATAAGCACGTAAAATTGGTAGGATTTGGTATAAGAAAGGGAAGGACCATATGGAAACATGATGGAAGAATTAGTCGGATTTTAGAATATTGAAGGTAAGGTTTTCGTAGTGAGATGTATGATGGGAGTGAAAATGCTTGCCCCCACACAAAATGTGGATGTCAGGCAAAGATCTGCATTAAGAAGGATGACAAAAATAGATGGGTTATTGCGAAGGTTGTAAAAAAACATAATCATATTCTCATAATGCCCAACAAGACTAGATTCATTCGCTCTCATCAAAAGATACTAAATACATTGAAGAAGGTGATTGACACATTGGAGTCTAGGGTTATGATGGATTTCCTCATTGAAGAGGCCGAGAGGCAGAAAATGTCACTTTCATTAAGAAAGACCTTGAGAATCACATAACTAAAAAAAAAAATAACTGAAAGGAAAAGAGGGTAATGTTGTTAAGAATTGGTTGCATATGAAGAATGAATTGGACCCTAACTTCTTTTATAGAGTTCGACTTGATGAGATGGGGAGGTTGTTTGGTGTTTTATGAGTTGATTCAAAGTGTATATTATCATACCAATTTTTTAATAACGTGGTAACCTTTGACACCACATACCAAAGAAATGAATACAGTATGCCTTTTGGCCCAATCCTTGGAGTTAATCATCACACTAACACAATTTTTCTCGGATGTGATCTCATCTTCAATGAACTACATAAACCTTCACTTGGTTATTTGAGAACCAGCTAAAGGCAATGGGAGGTTGCCAACCAAGTACAATTATCACTGATCAGGCTTTAGCTATAATGACAACAGTTAAGATCGTTTACCCAAATACTAATCATCACTATTGCAAGTGGCACATCATGAGAAAGTTTAAAACACATCTAAGCAATGTTGAGCGTGCGCACCCATTATTCTTAGAAGTATTCAAGAAGTGTATTGCAGCCTACACAATTGAGCAGTTTTTGGCTGATTGGTTGGCTATGATTCAGAAATATGATCTTCAAGAGGAAAGTTGGCTCAAGTGGTTATATGGTTATCGCACTGAATGGGTTAATGCATACATAGTTGATAGATTCACAGCCGGCATGAAAACCACACAACGAAGTGAAGGGTTCAATCGTCATTTAAAGATGCATGTCACTTCTGGTACAAGTTTGCAAAAATTCATGAATGCTATTGAAAAGTTACAAAAAAAGAAGTTCATCAAAGAAAAAGAGAAAGATAGTAAAGATCTTACATCCACACCTGTTTTAAAGACAACCTTCCTGATCAAGGAGCATGCAGCAAGGACACACACTCATAAAGTATTTAAAAAGTTCAAAGAAGATGTTGTAAGGTCCTCAAATTGGCTTAGCAAATTAATCGAAGGCAATGATGAATTTGCCAAATATAAGGTGGAAGACATTCACGGTGTGCCAAGCCCTAGGACGGTTACATTCATTTAATCAGGGAAGAAGTGTACATACACATGTTAATTCTTTGAGCGTGTTGGAATCCCTTGTTCACATATGCTCAGAGTATTCAACATGAGGAATAAATTGAAGATCCCATCTAACTACATTTTGAGCCATTGGACAATAGATGCGAAGAAGGGTGTCAAAGACAAATGTGGTGCTAGTAGTTCGACTATTTCTAAATTTCGAGTTTCATTCGATGTCATGAGCTTTATGACCTTGTGAGAACAATTGTAGAGTCAGTATTATAAAATGATGATCTATTTGAAAAAGTGAAGTTGAGTTTCTCCAAGTTAGCTGAGGAGGTCAATGTAATAAGAGAGTCTTTGTCGAATACTTATGCACCATCAACCTCCACTCATTGCAATGCCGATGAAGATGAAGTATGTGGCAGTATTAGATCAGTTGCATTCAGAGTTGTCCACTAATTCCACTAAGGGCACTAGAGTCTATGAGGATATTCACTATCCTTTCAGGCTTCAAGCTAATGCCTCCCCCCTTATCCTCAATCCACCATGTGCACGAGCAGTTGGATGACCAAGGACTAAAAGGATAAAACCTTCATGGGAGGAAGGGCCGAAATCTTCTACGCAAATAAAACAGCCAGAGGAAAAACCACCCACTAGAAGAAAGTGTAAAATTTGCAATAAAAGTGGACATGACAGGCGTAACTGTCCGGTGAGGACGCGTGGGATGTAAGTGCTTGTTTGCTTTATGTATTGAACGTAATAAGCCTAATTGTTTCTATTTAGCTTTAGTTTTCATTTATCTTTTGCTTTTCGTATTGGACTTACAATACATCTTTCTCTTATAGAGCTATTGCAGACCTCGAACTGAGTTGAAGCCATGACATACAAAGGGGCTGCAATTGCATGGAGGATATGACAAATTGTGACACTGCATTCGCCTCAAGGATTTTTTTATGTTGACTAATTTTTTGAATTTTGGAGGCATGTAAAAACCCATTTTTGTAGTTTACTTTGGGGGTTATGTGAATATTCAATGAATTTTACGGGCAAATAAGAGACCTATTTATGGGGCATGTAAGGGACTTGATTAATTTTTTGAATTTTGAAGACTTGTAAATACCCCTTTTTGTAGTTGACTTTGGAGGGTTATGTGAATATTCAATATTCATGTAATTTTTATGGGGGTATGTACAAGACCTCTTTATGGGGCATGTGCAGAACTCATTTGGTGACTTTTTAGTGACATATGTGTGACATTTCTTTTTTTTCCATCTATGTCATTAACGTGTACAATGTGGGTTTAGTTGGATAGTGAAATGCATTTATATGCCCTCAGTTCTCACTTTATTTTATTTTTTATGCTGAACGTTTGATACATTCTCACCTTTTATCACACCTGAAGGCATGCAGAATAGCTTTATAACCATTACGGACCTGCTTTGGATAACTAGCTCTCTTTCATAGGCTTTAGATTTGAATGATCTCTCTCTCTCTCTCTCTCTGTTTATGTGTGTCTCTCAAAAACAACAAAAGATATAAACTGAATAATACCATAAACTAGATAATTTCATTCACAAAATATTGTCATTGATTAAACAACGATTAATTATAATCATTTACAAATCACTGGAGAGGATAAACACCTCATGAAATGGGAAAAAACCAGATTCAAATAAAGCTTCAAAAAAGGTAACTCAATTGAGCTGACTCAACCACCAACAAGTAGTTTATTTTTTTTTGTTTATTCAAGTTTCATTCCTCTATTCTAATAATGCAGCGAAGGCCGTCCCCTTTGAGCATGTATTAAAAAGTTTTATTGTTCTCTGAGAATGAGACTGAATGTGTGATGAAGTTCTCCATGTGACGTGTACCTTCTTCATGTATTTGTCGACAATATATCGAAGATCAGAATGTAGCTTATAGTTTCCAAAGAATGGTCCTTTGAGAGTCATTTTATTGAGCACATTCATCGGGTGTGTCTTGAACACTGCATCCTTGTGAAGAACCCCTACAAGCATAGTTACACTGCATACTTCTTCGTGTATTTGTCGACAAACATGCAGTATCTAGATGACATTTAAGATTTCACCTTTAATTTACGGTACGTGACCACAAGCATTGGAAGCACAAAATAGCAACAGAAGCAGGGGTACGAGAGAAGGATAAGTAGTTTCAAAAAGATCTATAGCTTAGAGAACCATATGGTTATAAAAGAAAGTCAACATATATGTATCTAGGCACACTATTGTGCAAATGTATAATCACATACAGAATCTTCATGAGTTCTATTCATGACTCTGACAGAGCCACTATTTCAATCTATAGGCATCGAGTGCATAGTACATGTGTAGCCTATTCCAAATACTCACGGTAGGTGCAACTTTGAAGCGGGAGCCACTACCTATGTATTAATGATACTAGATTCAAGACATCATCAATTCTTTGTGGCCATTTGGAAGCATTTCAGAAATTCAGAGAGAAATAAAATACTCAATTACACTTTTCATTAACAGATGTTGTACACTGTAATAAAAATAAACAAATAATATCATCATTATCATCATCCAAGCCTTGTCCCAATTATTTGGGGTTAGCTAAAAGACATAATGTACTCTCTAAAAATAGCCCATCTACAAGTCGTCCAATCATGATCATATCTTTCTCCTTTTTAACCACCACTTTCTCCCTAATGAAATTGATTATGAATCCAACCATATACATCTTAGGAATCGAAACCAAGAACTTCATCATATTAGGAGCATAAAATTCTTGCTTTAGGATCAAGGTGCTCCCACTCTTCAGTTTCAGCTCAAAATCTCCAACTCCAAGTACATAAGTTTTCTGATTTCCTCCCATGTAAATATTTTGCTGTCCTGGCCCCATGGGAGTGAAAGAATGGAAATCATCCTTGGTGTTTGAGACATGGGTCGTAGCCCCCGAGTCAACACACCAAGAGACTCCCTTGTAGTCAGCCAGCATAGACTCAAAAACCACACATGTCAATTCCTTGTTGGTCCCTCCAGATTTATTGAACCGACAACTATTAGCTATGTGGCCCACCTTCTAACAAATAAAGCAAGTTCGAGTCTCTCTCTTTGCTCCCTTATTTCTAAAATCTCTCCTTTTGAAATATCTTTTTTTCCCAAAATAATTTTTTTCCTTTCCTTTCTTAAATTTAAAAGAGAGTGGAGATTTTACCATATGCACGGCTTCCCTTGAAGTTGTTGTCAGTAGTTGCCTTGAATTTTTCCTCTCCTCTTCTGCTTTCATTATAGTGATGAGCTCCTCCAGTTTTGGTGCTTTCTTTCTGACTGAGTTGGAAGATACGAAGGTCTCTTATGAATTAGGAAGTGAATTCATAAGATGAATCACTTGCATAGATTCATTGGGTTTCATACCTGTGTCTTCTAGCTCCCCGACTAGCGCACGAAACACGTGCACATGAACTGTAAACTTGGTACCTTCTGCTACCTTTAACTCATTATACCTCCTCATAGCCATGGTTTGCTTCATAAGAGAGGGTTCAACATACTCTCTGTCAAGTTTATCATAAATCTCACTTGCAATATAGATTGACTTATACTTAGAAGCATATGAGTTAAGTCATAACAAATAAAAGAAGGTGTTTGTATCTCAGATTCCTCTTCTTCTAATTGACGTACTCATCTTTAATGACTTGAGACGAGTCGTCAATTGGACGACGAGGTTGATCCTCAAAGAGTACCTCACGCAAGTTTTCCTCATAGAGCACAAATTTGACTTTTCTTTTCCATGAAGCAAAGTTGGTTCCATCTAACCTTTCGGTTTTCAAGATATCTGAGATGACGGTACAAGCAGCCATATATTTCTATTCTCAAATAAAAATAAGAAAAGACTCTTAATGGCAATCTAGTAAAACTAGCTCTGATACCAATGAAAGAAGGACCTATGTGATATTTTGCCAGGGAATACAATTATTATTATTATTATTTTTAATGATAATAATCACCCCTTTTGGTTTTGGCAAAAAGATCACTTACAGATGGTCTTATTACAATCAATAAATATTTCAAAATAAAATAGCACAACAATAAAATAAAATTCAACCACTTGATGCCATTTATTCAACCTAATACTATGCTTGAGAATATAAAAATAAAAGAGAGCAAGTAAGTAAAAGAGAAGATGCCGGAGATTACCTCAACCGGGCTTATTGCACCCCACACCGAGTCACCACATCCAATGGTGTGGGATCAGCGGTCTAGCTTCAATCTCGAACCGGGAAAGCTAAATTCGGGCAAACTAGGTAACCACCCTTAAATATCTATAAAACCCTAACCCCAAAATTATCTAAAGATTTAACCCTGATTTCCCAAACCCTTAGTATCTTTAGGTCAAGAGAGAGAGAAAAGGAGACCTAGTGTTGGGGCGTGCCCCCTATGGGTCTTAAGAGAGAGAGAGAGAGTTAGAGAGAGAAAATCTGAGAGGAGAGAGAGAGAGAGTTTATGAGAGAGAGAGAGGTGTAGTAAGAGT